TTTATTTGTTATTAATTTTCAAATTTTTTTAACGCTAACATGATATAATTGTTTATTAATATATAAATAAAAAATTTTGCACTTACGACAATTTTTTTATCAACGTCTTTGCATTTCACAGCTAAAGTTTCCACGCACACTTTTCGACATCCGACGTCCTCGGAAAGTTGTTGGCATTGGATGAACGAAACACACTCTGAGATTGTTTTAAAATTCGAATAAATGTTTGTAGTAATAGAAGAGACTTCTATCTTCAAATTCCACACATTTTTAAAGTGAAATAAACATAATACTGAATAGCAGCACTTGAAAAATGCCAAATTCGAATTTGCACAAAGTAGCCCCCGCTGCACAAAGTAGCCCCGAATGACGGTACCTTATCTTTTTATTTATTTTAAAATTAAGTGATTGAAAATTTTCTCTTTTAGGTACTGATACTAGTAAAGCAATAAAAAAGAGAAAACCTGGTATCAAAGAGTATGTATTTATTTATGTGCAATGCTTTCAATATTTCTTTAATTTGTTTGAAAAAATATATTTTTTGTGAAATTTTGTTTGTTTGTTTGTTACGTTGAGCTTTGCATTGATTTTGCTAGAATATGAAACTAGGGGCTTTAGAACCCAGTATCTCTCTTTACTTAATACAGCTCCTTATTCAAAATATGAATTCTCTACCTCTTTATCCATCTGTTACCATTCACATTCGTAAATATTCAATCTATTGATAGACAAAACAAAGAATTTCAAAACAAGAATAGTTTTATTTAAGCAATCAAAGTGAAGGTTTATAATTAGGACTTATCAAGGAAGTACGTATGGAGAAAACTAAAGGTCTTATTTGATACTCAGATTTGTAATAAGTTATACTTTCGGCTTTTAATAAAGAAGAAAAAGAATTACTTTAATATACATTTTTAAAGTTTGGTTATAATTCTACCTCTGAATAAATATGCTGGCTCATAATTTTTTTTCTCCTTCTAGAGAATAATGTGTCTTAGAGGATGCTTCATGACTTTTTTGCATGTCCTCTTTAATTTTTGGCATATTTGATGTGTTAAAGTTCAAAAGCGGAATCACTGGCATGTATTTAATTCACAGTGTTAACTTAATAAAAATGTTAGATAATATAAATTTCAACAAAAAGAGCTAAATTTTAATTTCATTAAAAGTTGAATAAATTTTTAAAACTAAGAATTTGGTGTTATAATTTAGATTTGATTAGTTGTGACTCTGGTAACAGAATTTGCAGAGTCAATCTGCAGCATTATTTTTAAAAATCCTGATTTATTTTCAACCACTACGCAATGAAAAAGATTATTGTTTTAAAAATTAGGATTTATCTAACTTGTAAGCAAAATTTGTAAATATTAGGTATTATAAAAATTATATTAAACTTTATTTAAATTTAATGTGTATTTTATACAATTATAATTTAACTTTGTCTATCAAAAGCAGAAACAGATGCTTATTCTAAGAAATCAAAAGGAGGAAAAACTGTTAAAAAAAAAGGATGGACAGGCAGATGGTAACATTAAATTAAAATCTGTAAAAAGGAAGAAATGATTAGAATTGAATTTTATGGTTTCTTGATTTGCACTTATTTTAAATTTCTTCAACCAAATCATTACCATACTATTACATATACAGTTGACAAAAAAAGTATTAGCACACTAAGCTAATTTAAAATTCTTGCAAGATAAAATAACCAAACTAGGATTTTCTTTACCTTTATTATAGTAAAAACAAAAGTAAGTGAAAATAAAAAGCACACTTGCTTTTACAGAATCTAAAACAAAAAAACATTATTATATTTTTGCAAAAAAAGTATTAGCACACTTAGTGAAACAAATAAAAACATTTTTCATTATCGGTGATTTGCTTTTTAATATCTTGTATGCAATCCATTGGCCTTAATGACTGCTTCTAATCTTCGTGGCATAGATTCTTCTAACTTTTTGGTAATATTTGAGGAAATATTATTGCAGGAATGAATCAATGTAGATTCTAAAGAATCTCTACCCGTAATGTGGTTATTCCTTACTTCTTGATCTAGATGGTGCCAAAGATGTTCGATCGGGTTCAGATCAGGAGATTGGGGGGGAGTGCGTAGCCTTCTTGGTGCATTATAAAGCAACCATTCCCTTGTTACATTCGCGGAATGTTTAGGATCATTATCTTGCTGGAATATATAGGTGTCTTGGAGGCCTAATTTTCTAGCACTGCTTTTCAAGTTACGGCGCAAAACCTCTATATACGATAAAGCTGTCATCCTACCATTAATATCTTCCAAATTTCCAACCCCATTATGCGCCATACAGCCCCAAACCATCACATTTCCCCCACCATGCTTAATTGTTGACAAGATATTTTTGTGATCAAGAGCAGTACCTTTTTTCCTCCAAACAGTTAAAATGCTTTTTGGCCGAAATATTTCAAACTTACTCTCATCAGAAAAAATAACTTGCTTCCAAAACTCCATTGGCTTACTTCGATAGGTCAGAGCAAACTCAAGACTCTTTTTCCTATTAACCTCGCTAATAAAAGGTTTCTTCCTTGGCCTCCTACCCCGAAGACCACTCATATGGAGAACATTTCTAATAGTTTGTGGCGTCACTGACTTGCCAGAAGTTGACGCAAAGTCGTTGGCTAAATTTCGAGCACTTTGAGTTGGATTTCGTAGGGCCATTTTAACAACATGCCTCCTTTCCCTGTCATTTACTTTGACTGGGCGACCAGATCGGGGTTTATTTTTCGTGGATCCTGTTTCTTCCACTTTTTTAATAATGGAACGAACTGTTGAAAAGCTCAATTTTAACTTTTTTCCAATATCCCGATAACTTTTTCCTAATTCACGGAGACATATTATCTTTTCTCGAGTGGAGCCTGGAATTTCACACTTCTTCGGACTCATACTTAATGAATAGAGAAATTCAAAATAACACTGAACGTAACTTAATACTCTAGTCTTAGTACAAGTTATGAATCGGTTTCAGTAAGTGAATATAAGGTTTTATTCTTCTTATCTGTAGTGGTAGTAATGCAATTCGAGTGTGCCAATATTTTTTTTGTAAAATAAAATGTGTTTTTTCTATGGAAATATTTTGTTAACAATGACAGGAATTTTATATTTTGTGATTTAGTTTTCATTTGAAAATTGAGTGTAATATAGTTTAATTGGTAAAGTTAGAACTTTTCGTTGCGTAAATATTTGAAACTATATTGATGTGCCAATACTTTTTTTACCGACTGTACTTTGCAGCTAAATAATTACAAAATACTGAACAGTTAGTGGTTTAAATTTAGAATTTAATGTTAAAAAAGAAAATCAGAAAATTGTTATAATTGAGAAAGGTTAGATTGTCCCACTTCTATCTTCTCTTTTGCAAATGATGTTAGAACAAGAATAAACCTGAGCATGCACCTGTAAGACAATGATGTGTATGCCTTTTTGAAACAAATTTGAAGAAAGAAAAATTATTTAGTATTTTTCAGTATTGAAATGGATATAACTTTTCTTTTTCATTTGAACTTTCATTTAAATTTAATCTCTGAATTTTCTACGTATAATTTTTTTTCAGCTTTTTTTTAAAAAATCTGAGGTGTAAAATAATCTGCTGATCCTGTCATAATCTGCAGTTCCTAGAAGGTTTTTGCTAACAGGGTTGTGACATAGCTCTAAATATTTCTTTGGAGCTTTATCTTATGTTGCTTATACACTAGAGATAAGCTCTGGCTTGTTTTTGGAGGTTCGAGACTGCCTGAGCCAGGAGAATTTTAATTCAAGCCCACCTGAGTTTGAGATACATAGGATTACTTAATGTCTGAATCCGCGCGAGATATATATTGGATAAAGGCCAAAGTTTGTAATCTTGCCACAAAATCTTTGATGTGTAAACAAAGAAATTAGTAAAGTAAAAACTTTTCTATCACTTACCTATGAGAGGAAAAGCAAAGAGAAAAACTGAAACTCCAAGCTCACTAAAACAAAAATTAAAAAAGGAAATCAAAATATTAAACTAAACAAAATTAATTTGACAATTAGTGCTAGCCTAACAAAGCAAAAGCACTGAAAAAAAAGTAGATGGCTGAAATTTTTATATCTTATAAATTTTAAATTTTTTTTATATTTAATAACAGAACCGAAAGGTTTGTTTGAAAGTTGTAAAAAGTTTATGAAAATTTTATCATGAATCTGAGCTCGCCCAAAACCTTTTCTTTGTAAACCAGTCTGTGTCAGGCTCAAGCTGAGCCCATCTTACTATTGTCCCATCTTTATAGATTGCATTTTTATATACAGCCATATTAATCTCCATATTTATTGTTATAATTTGGGTAAGGAAGTATTGTCAAATTTCCATAAACATGTATTGTCACCTGTGTTTTTTTTTCCACTTCAAAAAATATAGCATTGGAGGACTTGTGTAAGTTGGAGTTAGGTGTGCACATTTCAAATCATTGAAGCTGTAGTCATTCTTAAAAAAGTTAGACAGCATAAGCATGTATTGTCACCTGTGTTTTTTTTCCACTTCAAAAAATATAGCATTGGACAACTTGTGTAAGTTGGAGTTAGGGGTGCACATTTTAAATCATTGAAGCTGTAACCATTAATAACTATAAAAAAGGTTCAACAGGTTTGAAAGTCAGATGGTAGAGTTGAAATATTTACCCTTTGTCTCTTTTTATATAAACAAAGGATTTAGTATTAAATTGATTTTTTTGCAATGACTTTCTTTTTTAGTGTAATGAAAGTTGAATTTAAATGAAAAAAACTATCTAAATTAATGTCAGCGGTATTTTGTTTGTTGCTTTTTCATTGAAATGAAATTTTACATAATATGTACTTTAGGAAGTTAAGAATCTGATAGATACAAACGGTTAACCGACAAAGCTAAATTTTGTTAGAATGTTTCTTAAGATATTGAAAATGCTGAATCGATTATTATTTGCTAAGATTTTGATCTGTACTTTTGTAATTTTTCCATAACAGAATTATTTTAAACTAGGATCTACCACCCACTTCTTACTATTGTTAGAGGACAAGCATTTGCTGTTCTTAATAGATCACATAGTCTTAAGCTGTCTGGCATTCTAACAGTACTTGGACATTGAAATTAAATGTCAAAGTAAAGTCATTCAAGAAATAATAAATTTCATTGCTAGTAAAATAAATATTGATATTTTTTTTATAAACGTTTTCTGAACATGTAACCTCATTGTTTTCTTTAAAAATGAATTTAATTTAAATCAGGAAAGGCTGAACTGCATTATAAATATACAGCTATTTTTATGGTGCATGAAATTAAAATTTAGCACAATATGTTAAATGCATGTTTGTCAACAAATCAATTAAAATTAATAATTTGATGCTGGCATTTTCTATTAATACTTTCACTTTTATTTATTTTGTCAACTTGGTCCATTGTCAAAATTTCTATTCAAAAGGGACCTTCTCTCTTTGCATGCTGGGCATCTCACTA